ATAACTACACTCTTATGTTCACTTCCTCATTATTCACAGTAGCCAAGGTATGGAAGCAATCTAAGTGTCCATCACTGGCAGAATGGCTAAAGAAAACTTTATATATATACACAATAGAAGGTTTACCAGATTTTGAGAAAATTTGTTTACGTATGAAAAAGTAAGGTATTACAAATTTGGAGGAATTCTCCACAAAAAATATAACAGGATTTTTGATTGGCGATATCAAGTTTTCTTTTATGTAACTCTGGTTATAGATTACATAATGTAAGCCATTCTTTGGCTATATACTTTTCTCTCTGAGTAATACAAAATATTTCTAAACTTCAGAGTTGTCTTCATTTCTCAGTTCAGTGCCAGGGATATCTGAATGCCTTCATGCTAATCTGCATCATTTTTTATTAATAGAAATTAAAAGTTTGCCATGATGTCAAACACAGGAAAAAATTGTGTTTTTTTTTGTTTTTTGTTTTTTTTTTTTTAATGGGAGGAGTACTTTCTGTGATGTGTTTATGGAGTGTAACAAAATTAATAAATTTTATTGATATAATTTTTACAGTAAAATGCACCAACTATGAGGATACAGCTTTAAGAATTTTAGCAAATATAGATGCCCATATAACAACTGCTGTTGGTTTTAACACAAAAATCTATGTATGTATAAGAATGAGAATATATATTCTTATCTGGTAAGGTTGAAAAGTATCAGACGAAAGATAAAGGACCTTCTCATCTAGAACCCATGGATCCAACAGAAGCATCCATGGAGAAAATTAAGGCTGTCAGAAGAGGCCCTGAAATTATATGCAAAAGTATTATGGGAATGGACCTGTGCATTTTTCAGACAAAAGTATTAATAGCTTCTAACAGAATATCATTAATGCCTCTGATCCTATAAAATTTTACACTCGCTGAAATGATTGGGTTTGTGTCCAAACCCAAATCTGATGTCAAATTGTAATCCCCAGTGTTGGAGTAGGAGCCTATTGGGAGGTGATTGATCATGGGAGCAGAGTTTCCGTTTGCTGCTCTCATGATAGTGAGTGATTTCTCATGAGATCGCGTTTTTAAAAATGTGTAGCAACTTCCCCAGCTCTCTCTCATTATCTAGCACTCTAAGATGTATCTGTTTTCCCTTAAACTTCCACCATGATTGTAAGTGTCCTGTGGCCTCCCAGCCATGTTTTCTATACAACCTGTGGAACTATGAGTCAATTAAACTTCTTTTTCTTTATAAATTATGCAGTCTCAGGTAGTTCTTTATAGCAATGTGAGAATGAACTGATACACTCACTAAAACTAGCTTAAAATCACATGAAAATAAATACATTTCTAAATCTTTAAATTTCTCTTTCATGCTCTGGGTTATGGCAATATCTCTTTCCCTTGAATTTATTCTCAATTTAACTCCTAAATAATTATCAATATTACTAAAATTTACTCCTAAATTCATATTAACTGTATTAGACTGTTCTCACACTGCTATAAAGATACTACCCAAGACTGGTGATTTATAAAGAAAAGAGGTTTAATTGACTCACAATTCTGCATGGCTGGGAGGCCTCAGGAAACTTACAATCATGGCCAAAGGGGAAGACGCATGTCTGACATGGTGGCAGCTAAGAGGGAGCAAGCAAGAGCAGGGAAATCTGCTTTATAAAACCATCAGATCTCATGAGAACTCAGTGTCATGAGAAGAGCATGAGGGTAAGCACCCCCCATGATCGATCACTTCCCACTTGATCCCTCCCTCAGGCATGTAGGCATTATGGGGGTTACAATTCAAGATGAGATTTATCTTGGGACACAGAGTCAAATGATATTGTTAAGTTTCTAATGTATGCGAAGCACATGGCTTTGAATTTTAGAGATAAAAAAATAGAAAATAGCCCCTTTCAAAACAAAACAAAAAGCAAACCTCACAGCCTAGTAAACCTTATAACATACCTACTATTGTACTTTGACAAATGTATTAATGGAATAATCATGTATGTTGCAATCATAACAAGATTGAGAGCTAATCGAGATCAAGAGTTAAAACAGACATTGATGATTGTCTGTTTTACAAATGGTTATTACAATATTTTGGAAATTTGTTTAGATTTAAGGACAGGGACATATATTCATATCTCTCCAAAGACCTCCCCACATCTCGAGCGCTACACTACATAATGATTACTGAATTAAAATAAGTGTAAATTGATTTCTGACTTTTGCCATTTTTCTTAATAATGGATCAATTTATTTACATTATGAAGTAAGTATATTTTGATCATATGAGCTGTATTACTTCAGAGGGAAACGAGATCTTTGCCTAGTAATGCTTGTAAAGTAATCAACAAATTTCCTGTAAATGGATAGAAAGAATAGGGAACACAAACTGAAGAAGAATGACCATACACTCAATAAATATTTTCTTGTGGCCCTAAGTTCTTTCTTTGAACTAGTTTTTAAAAGCAAATATTAAGCCACTTTTCAGGGACTTCATGTAGTTTTAACAAAAAATTTTGTAAAAAGAAGAAATTGTATACTTACAATGATATTTGCTCTGGGGAATATGAGAGGTGGGAGACAGGGAGAAGAGCAAAAGTTGAAAAACTGCCTGTTGGGTACTATGCTCACCACTTAGGTGACAGATTCATTCACGTTCCAAACCTCAGCATCGTGCACTGTACTTTTCACAAGCCTGCACCTGTACCCCTGATTCTAAAATAAAGGTTAAACAGTCAGCCGCGCACTGTGGCTCATGCTTGTAATTCAAGCACTTTGGGAGGCCGAGGCGGGTGGATCACAAGGTCAGGAGTTCGAGACCAGCCTGGCCAACATGGTGAAATGCCGTCTCCACTAAAAATACAAAAAATAATTAGCTGGGCATGGTGACAGATGCCTGTATTCCCAGCTACTCAGGAAGTTGAGGCAGGAGAATCACTTGAACCCAGAAGGCAGGCGGAGGTTGCAACGAGCCAAGAACACACCATTGCATTCCAGCCTGAGTGACAGAGTAAGACTCCATCTCTGATAAAAATAAAATAAAATTAAATTAAAATTAAAAACATTAAAATAAAGGTTAAACAATAAATAAAATTAAAACAAATTATTTTTTTAAATGATGTGCCTCCTTTCTGATATTCCTTAGAAGTTTGGGCATTGAGTTTACAGAGATATTCACATGTGTAATCATAGGTCTGTACAATAAGACCTTGTCTCATTCTCAGCTTTACAATAAGTTATTTCCTACTTTGGAGTCATTTAGCTCCATCAGAAGATTGGGCTGTGCTTTGTAATTTAAGTGTAATCATAATATTAATTAGAAGAAATTTAAAACTCTATTCTCTAAATATTGAAGTAAATATTGTATCACTTAGTATAATATTCAAGCTTTATAACCCAATTATATAACCACTGCCACCATTTAAAAAATATAATTATTTCCAGTTGTAAATTCCAAAAAATATTACTTTCAGATACAACATTTTAGTTCTGGGTTCAGAATAAGCAGAGATAATTTAGAATAGTTTTATAATAATAAGCAGAGATAATTTAGAATAGTTTTATAATAAATGATAGATGCTTATTAATTCAGTGAAGTTTAGTTACTTCTAGAAAAGAAAACTTGGGAAGCGAAGAAACTCAGCTTTTTAAAAGTATTGACCTGAGTGAGCCACAACAAGCTTAAATCAAATAGAAATTCCACCTACACAATGGTTAGATGAAAAGGTTTCTACAGTGGGTAGAAATTGATAAAGGTAGTTGTTGGGATTCTAAAAATAGTTTTAAATATTCATCTGGAATATTTTGTATGTCTTGAAAACAAAATGTTTTTCTCCTTTTATATAAAAGTAACAGTGAAACATACTAATGCCTCAGATTGTTTAGAAATGTGCATTATATTAAGGAAAATCAGACATTTTGGAATTTTTTTGAATTAGCAACTAGAAAAACAAAAATTACACATGGAACAGATCTATTTGTTCTCCCCAAAAAGCTTAGAACTATAAGTATAACAATGATAAAAATATTGACTTGCATGAAGTCTGGTTTCTTTTCATCTGTCAGAGATAAGCTCTCACTCTTTGGGAAGCAGCTTATTCTTGTAATTGCTTTCAGGCATCCTTCTAGCTCCTTTTCTAAGTCAGGAAAGGTTCTGTTACAGTCAGTCAGAGTAGTTGTTTGACTGAAGAAATGGTAGTTAGAATGATTTTTCAATTCATGTGCTGCTTCATTAACATTTTCATTTTAGACTAGTTGCTGTTGCTGCTGTTGATGTTTCTAAATTCGAGAAATTTCAGACCTAACAGACAGGATATATGAGCATATGAATAAGAAAACTGAAAAAGAGTATAAATCATGTTGACAAATGCTTAAAGTGCAGATCTTCTTTAAAAAAAATTGTTCCTATATCATTCCAAACATGGATCAATATGTAGCAGAATCAAAGAGCATGTCACTTGATTGGTGCAAATTAAAATATAGAAAGTCTTAGCTCTAACTCTCCTTATTCTGAGCCTATTGAATCAGAATTTTCACAGATGAAATCAGGCATATATATTTTTACAGAAATTTGCAGACCCTGACTCATGCTTCTGCTTAAGAAGCTTTAAGAGAGTGATGGGTGAACTGCATAATAGTCATGTAATTAACATACGTTGGGAATGCAAATAAGACAAACAACTTGTAATCTGCTGAATTTTTGCAAGAGCTATTGGAGTACAATAGCTCTCAAATCTGGCTACATAGCAGATTCTCTTTAGATGCTTATTTGAAAGCATTGTAACAACTGGTTATAGGAATCGGTGTGGCTAAAAAGCTCTCCACATGGTTCTAATGTAAAGACAAGGTTGATACAAGAACAGAAAATCAAACACCGCATGTTCTTACTCATAAGTGGGTGTTGAACAATGAGAACACATGGACACAGGGAGGGGAACATTATACGCCGGGACCTGTTGGAAGTTGTGGGGGCCAGGGGAAGGCTAGCAGGGGATGGGGAGATTGGGGAGGGATAACATTGGGAGAAATACCTAATGTAGATGATGGGAAGATGGATGCAGGAAACCACCATGGCATGTGTATACCTGTGTAAAAACCTGCACGTTCTGCACATGTACCCCAGAACTCAGAGTATAATATACATAAAAAAAGACAAGGTTGAAAACCACTGATGTAGACAAACAGTTCATTACATTATTGATAATTATGTAAATTTCTTGTTTTTCTTTATCCTACTAGATAATTCTGGTTGTGAATTATTATATGAATTTATATCTGTAAATGTATATCTTCAAGGTAAAAGAATAATGTATGTAATATTTGATAATGTTTCCTCAATCACAGTGCTTAATATGAGCTTATTAATTATATTAAGACAACTCTTAGGATTTTAAAAATGCTTAATATATTCTACTCATTTAATTCGTTACTTGAATGTTCTGTCTCATAGTTAGTAACCAGACAGTGAGAATAATGCTAGCTGTTATTTCAGATATATTTAAGATATATGAAGCCTCAAACACAATAGAATTTTATTGCTTGCTTCTGTAAAAGTGCTGAATGGGTTTGCAAGTCAGTCAGGTGAGGTGGCTCTGTGCACTCATCTAGGAATTCAAGACTGATACTCTACTGTCCTCAACATGTGACTTCTAGATGTCGCTGAGTGTCGGGGCATTCTAACTATCTATAAGGGAAAAAAATGCTTGGGGAAACTTTATATCTCAGGCTGGAAGAGGTGTACATTAACTTCAATCACATTCCATAGCAAGAATCAGTTAACATATCTAATTAAATGACGAGTAGGACATATAATCTTTCTGTGCAACCATGAGATAACTAATATTTTCTGCCATAGTCTGAACTTGTGCTGCATCTTTCTTCCCATACATATAATACGTCCTCACCCTTCCCCATGGGAGATAACCCAAAGCCCCATCCAGATGCTGTGTCCAACCCAGCATACACAGTCTCAGCTGAGTGTTCTCAATAAAGTCCAGATGTGCTTCCTTATGGGATAAAAGCTCTCTTCCCACTGCCCAACACATCTTAATAAACACTGATGGAATGGGGGCAGAGTAAGTTCAATAAAAATTTCTATTCAAAAAAGGCAAGAATAGAAGCTACACATCAGGAACTTGTCCATACCAATGATGGATTAATATATGTATGCTATTGTGTTTGTATGTATACACATGTGTATGTCTATGTGTGTATATGGATCCACACCACAGGATCTTCAATTGCTATACTTCCTACAGCATCTCATCCAACATTATTTAACACATGTCCAGTACATGGATTTGATCCCAGAATATGATCTGATTCTAGACATGGAAACTGGGAATAGGCCATGGTGTCAGGACATGTCATAAACCATAAGAAAAGTGAATTGGTTGGCCAGGCATCATGGTTCATACCTGGAATCTCAGCATTTGAGAAGCTGAAGTGAGCGAATTACCTAAGCCCAGGAGTTCAAGACCAGCTTGGGCAACATAGCAAGACCCTGCCTCTACAAAAACATTTTAAAAACTAGCTGGGCATAGTGGCATACACCTGTAGCCCTAGCTACTCATCAGGCTGAGGTAGGAGGGTCACTAAAGCCTAGGAGGTTGAGGCTGCAATGAGCCATGATTATGCTGCTGCACTGCAGTGTGGGTGACAGAGAAAGAACCTGTTTCAGAAAAAGGGGGTGGAGGGAACTGGTACCTGATGGGTGATGGTGGTCTAATTTTTTAAAGTAAAATTGCATTTTAATTATACTTCATCTGTAAAACCCAAAATTTTACATAGTAAAAACTCAATAGCCAATTTCTACCTACATTTTTATTTTTTCTGTAAGTTATTGGGGTAAAGGTGGTATTTGGTTACACGAGTAAGTTCTTTAGTGGTGAGTTGTGAGATGTTGGTGCACCCAACACCAGAGCAGTATACACTGCACCACATTTGCAGTCTTCAATCCCTTGCTCCACTCCCACTCCTCCTTCCAAGTCCCCAAAGTCCATTGCATCACTCTCACGCCTTTGTGTCCTTACAGCTTACCTCCCACATATCAGTGAGAATATATGATGTTTAGCTTTCCATTCCTAAGTTATGTCACTTAGAATAATAGTCTCCAATCTCATCCATCTACCTACACTTTTAATCCCTATCAAATTATCTCCAAAACTTTTGGAATGACTAGATTACATGTTTCTCTAATATAATCCTTATTGTCTGCCAAAAAGTATTTTCTCAAATCCAGCTCATGTTTAGAACAAAGAATCTTAAAATAATACAAAAACATGAGCCAAAAGAGTGTTCCTATTCCTAATACCATTCTAACTGATAAATAACAACTACAATAAATAAAGCTACTTAGTTTTAATTGGCCATCACATATCTGATTCTTAGCTTTATAGAAATATTCTAAAATGTTTTAAAAATTACATTTTGATTCCTTATATTTATAATAAATGATGGTTTGGATATTTCATATAATTCACACAGAATTTAAAACTGAAATATGTAATCAAAAACAGATGCATTTAAGTAGTGAAAAGAGTTACTCATTTTCCTTAAATTTAAAATAAGAATCAATATTCTTCTATTTAGAAAATAATTATCCTCTAAGGAAGATATAGTCTTTATTTCATGCATATATTTTACTTCAACATAAACTTCAATGCCTTAATGGAAATTAGTACAAAAACATTCTGAAATTTATATTTATGATATATTAGTTACTAAATTTCATACATAAATGCTTACTTTCAGTGTTTATTTAAAAAGAAAGACATGTGGAGCCTCAGCACAGTACTATATCCTAACTGATCCTATTTATTCTGTATCTTTTATGATTTATTTTATCTAGGATTCCATCCGATTCTCTGGTCAACCATGTTTACAATATTATTTCACCTTTATGTACTGAGCAATAAAAGTTGAAAGTGGCTTGATTAGATTGCACTCTGAATAGATGGAATTCATGGTATTATATAACTTGCTTAGTAATCAGCTTGAGCCATGTCTACACAGTAAAATCAATTTTAGTATCATTCTACCACTTTAGATAAGCAAATTGAGTAACTGCAACAAACTGAAATTACTTTGGAGGGTACTATGCAGTAACATTCAATGCTGGCATAGATGGCAAAGTTCCTAGGAAGTTAATCAAAATCTTAATACAAGAAAATTGGGAAAATTTTAGTTTTAATACAATATGGTAAACTTCTAAATATTAAAACACTGTTTTGCAATTTGAGCTTTCTATTTATGTATTTAGTTCTTTTCAAAACATGCTAAACGTACTAAGTACCTACTATTTTCCAAGCATTCTTCTAGATTTAAGAGGTTTAATGATGAACAAAAATGAATGGTTATGCTTTGAAGTTAGCATTTAATAGATAACCAATGTTGTAAACAGACAGAAATATAATATAATTGCAAATTGTGCTAAGAATTATAAAATAAACTAAAATAAACATGCTATTACTAAAATTTAACTGAGATCTTAAGGACAAGAATTTATCCAAGTAAATAATGAGGTTAAGGGCATTTCAGGCAGAGAGAAGTAAGATCAAAATACTTTTATAGCAGAGAAGAGTTTGTAGATCTCAAAGAACTTAAATAAGCTGTCATCACTAACTGAAGAGGAAAAGGGCATGGAGTGAAATGGTGTAAAAATATTCAATTGTCACATAGTATTACAGTCCTGTAGCTCATGATTATAATTTGCCACCCTACCCAAAGCACAGTAGGTGTTTATTACAATTTTTTCCTTCATTTTTTAAGACAGATTATGTGACTTACATTTTTATATTTCCAGATGATTGTGACATTTGAAGGACTGCAAGGATGATAGCTAGATCACAATGGAAAGACCACTTAAGAAGCAAAAGATTAGTATTCAGTATAACAGACAAAAATATGATGGTATAGAGTTAGACGGTGATGGGAAGATAATGGACAGACGGTTGGGTAAAACTGATGATCCTGGTAATACATTGCATACTGGAAGGCAAATAGAGGCATAAAGAAAACCTCCACACAAGTAAGTTAGCTTGTGTTGATGTCATTTACTGAAATTTGAAAAATGGTGGGTGGTTATGAAGCAGTGGTGGGCCAGGTTGTGTCAATTTTGTGATGCATGTGAGAAGAAGTGTAAGATATTAGTCTGGAATTCAAAGGAGACATTGATATTTCTTAGCATAGAAATATAGTAAGTCCTCACTTAATAGCAGTCATTAGTACTTGGCAATTATGACCTTAAGGAAAACAATGTATAACAAAACCATTTTTATTTTCCTGATCAAGATTCTAAAGAAATGATGACGTTGGAGGAAATTATGTTATCCAAGGACCTGCTATATGTAGTTTTGATGATGTTGAGGACTTACTGTATCAATTAAAGCTACGTTGTTAGTCATGGTTCTCCAGAAAGACAGAATCAATAGGCTATACATCTATACAGCTATATAGGAGATGATTTATTATGGGAATTGACTCATAAAATGAAGAAAGCTGAAATTTCCTACCATACACTGTCTACAAGCTGGAGAACCAGGGAAGCCAGTATTGTGGCTCGTTCCAAGGCTCAATACCTCAGAACCAGGGAAGCAGATGATATAACTCTCAGTTTGAAGCCAAGGCCCTCACAATCTGGTGGGGTTGTGAGGGCTGGTACATGTCCTGGAGTCCAAAGGCCAGAGAACCTGGATTTCCAAAGTCCAAGCAAAGGAGTAGAAGGATAGCCTATCGCCAGGAGAGAGAGAGAGTAAATTCACATTTCTTCTGCCTTTTTGTTCTATCTGGGATGGCAGTTGATTGAATCCATTCCCACATTAAGGGTGCGTCCTCCCCATGCAGTCCTCTGATATACAAGCCAATCTCCTGTGGAAATAGCCTTACAGATGTACTCGAAACAGTGCTTTTTCAGCTATCTAGGTATCCCTTAATCCAGTCAATTTACCCCTAAAATTAACTATCACATTATGTGAACAAGAAAAGATAATCTGTGTACAGATTTTAGGGTGAGACAAGAAAGAGACTTAGGGTGACAGCCTAAGAAAGCATGATGTGTGGG